TTACGGGCGAGTTCGTAGGGAGCTCGTCGCTGAAACCTAGGCCCGGCAGCGAAGGGATGACGAGGTGGAAGGGCTGGTGGTTTGCCTCTTCTGGCTCCGTGAAGAGCTTCACCAGATGGCCTACTGAGAGGCTAGAGAAGGGAAATGGAGGTATTAATAATAAGGGTATTACGTTTGCATGTGATGAGCGAACGTGGATAAATTGAATCCTGATGGGTGAGTCTGAATTCGGAACGGTGAAGGCTGTGCGAAACTGTGGGAGATTATTTAACATCTCTTCGTGGTCCCGCCATTGATATTGCTCGAGCCTGCCCGCCGTCAGCATATGAATTCAAGTAAGTCTTGTCCTTCTGTCCAATAGCTATAAGCGACAAATTGCTCACTTATAAATAGAGGTAACGATGACCGGGATACATGTAACTCACCAGAAGTCAATAAGAGGCTCAATCTGCGACTTGGGCTGCCACCAGTCTTTCGACTTGGGTTCATCAAGCTCATGAGGTAGTCGTGCGATTTCAAGTTTCTGCTTGGTGAGATTAAGGTACCGAGATGAGACCTAATTAACAGAAATAAGAGGTATTAGCCACCCATATGTTGACATACATTATTTTTAAGAACAAGAAAGAACTCACATGTATCCTATAAGGCTTAACTTCTTCTGCAGTGGCACCGCTTTCTCCTGCTGCCACATGTTCCTCAATGTCAGCAGCCATTATGATACAGCATATAACAGCTTAGAAACTAGCAATCAATCCTCTCTATAAAGTAATGACAGATAAGGAAATAGACCAGTAGATAAATGAACGAGCGTCGAGAATGGTAAAGTATCAATCAAATGAAACGTATATGAGAGAGAAGAGACGCATTTCGTCTCTAGTATAGTATGGGTATCACAGCCGCATGTTTTTTTCCGCAGTCCGAAGAAAAAAAGAACCATTCTTTTCCATTTAATTATATCCCGTTTTAAGGGACATCAAAGGGCCCTTGTACCTCGGTGGCTTGACTCGGTGTGGCTAAAAGCTCAGGGTGGTACGTTGCCAAACGTTGCCTAAGAGAGCCTAGCGCAGCCACGCGCCGTTGAGAAATCAAGGAAGAGGCAGATTGGGCAGCCAATTATCACGATGCGGGCTGGCTAGACCGCGAGATGGGCGTACAGGGTCTACGGAGCAAAAGGCCAATAAAGTGGTGCGCCATGACGAATCTTCCGCGTCTCATCTAGACGAGAATAGAGAGATTGTCGAAGTTGGCCTGCCGCCCTGTAGGTATTGATGCGATTTGGGGAAAAGGTGTGAATCGGTGCCCGAATGTAGCCCACCATCAGAAAGACTGATGCATCACATGGACCATAATAACTGTCATCCATGTCACTGGAAACTTGAATGAGATCGGTTGTCATTTGTTTCATGTTATGCGGGTACGCTAATGGATGGGGCTAGGAGACTCAAGTCGCGGGCGCGTTCTCCCAATGTTCGGATATTCTTTATGCAAGGGTCGCACCGGGAGGCCCCGGGCGGGAAGTAAGTAATGACTCTTATTATAGACAGAAAAACACCATGAACTTGGGTAGGAATATTCTACGTAGTACTTGTATTTGTACCACACTACAGCCGAGGACCCTTTGACTTTTAAATATAACAAGGACCAGACCATCCTTCCGTGAACATGATATTAACTTGTACACAAGTCGCTCACCTGCAGTAACAGTAGCATCATCTCGACGGCCATTGATTTCAACGAGAAGCGGTGAAGAGGCATAATGAGTAAGTAGTATAGTTACCGGAGATGTTGCTCTACAACATCTTAGCGTGCTCCCAGCTTGCGACTACATTTTTAGCATCATCCGCGCTGGCCTTAGTATAATCACCGGGATATTGCAGTAATTGCATCGGCCAAGTTTTGAGCTGGCACACATAGTATCGACATCGAATGTTGATATTAAAAATCGGCTCATATCATTCTTTTACTCTTCTCCCCGTTTTCCTAGGCACCAGTTCGAGCTCTACTGTACTCTACCGTGGATACAATGTTTACCAGGACACCGGAATACTAGGAGACGCTACCTGGGTAGTGTAATTCGTATTCAGCTGGGCCGCGTCTTAGTATTCTACCCATTGATTGATCAGCAAAAGTCTACTTAGGGCAGACCTCGAAAACTTCATTCATCCTAGAGTAAGTTTTGCATAGCGACAAATGCTAAACGTCCTATTAAAAGTATAGATCTTTTATCGGGATATGGGTTGTGCAGGTGAGGATATCTATATTACATTGGAGTTGGGAGTCTCTCCTTCACTGTAACCATATTTTTGAGACCCGAAGCATACAGCGTCTATATATATGACAAGAATAGATCGACCTTATGCGCTCGAATCCAGAGCAAATCAATTACCGTATATCTTATTCATCCGTATCCTCTTCATTACCCGTCCACCAGCGCCACTGCAGAGATGGAGTCAGCAATTACACCCCTAGGCCGTACAGAAGAAGCTCGCTAGGAGTTGTCTCGACTTCAAGTACTTACAAGCACCTTGCACCAGAATATAGTCTCCATAGTGCCGAGTACCCCGATGACAGCGAATACCACAAACTTGGTTATGCGATTCATGCCGAGATTATGAAAACTGATCTTGAAATCGTCTTCTGACGGCGACGAAGTCTGTTGGGATCTAGGCCCTGATTGCGACGGGGATCCATTCTTGATAGCATTCGTCGCGACGTCTTTCTTGACTGACGTGGAAGTGAAACGAGCACCTGTGGTGAGACTCCTTCCTGATCCGATACTGTTGCATCTTATCGTGCATGTATTGATCTTTCTCAAGATGTTACTTGGGGTGGAGGGTGCATGTAGGTTGGGGTGTGTCCATGTAAGTGATGCCCCTCTGATGCTGGCTCTTAAGGCGGGTGATATCAGGGAATAAGTCAGCATTGTTTGGAGGGGAAACTATTTGCAATTTTGAGAAAAGGAACGTAGTAACAATGAGAACAAAGTCTAATAGTGTTGAAGAATATCGAGTAAATTCTAATTCAGTCTTGAATGTAGTTTATATATCAATGATTCCTCTGTTTTCTTGAGTAAAGAACCCAATGACCCTCTTGTTGATCTCTATCCACACCGATACGCCGTATTCCAATTAGCATACATCTTATTTCCTGATTAGGCAATTCCTGTGCACAGATAGTACCTTGACAGCAAATGTACTTTTCCCCCTCAGTGTTTTATAGATATAATGAGTAAACATAAGAATATTGTAGAAGAGAAAACCGTAAAGATAGAAGGAAAGAATCCAGAAGATGCTGGCAGGTACGACTGACAGTGTATGTGAATGCCCCTCACGGTGGTTATTAAGTCACCTGCTCCATCCCTCCTCCAACAACATCAAATATCCACCTACAATGACAACAAGTGGTGAGAGCTCAACAGCCTTCGCATTCCTCCCCATCAAGACGTACCTGTTGGTTTTCTCATCGCGGCGAGTAAATTTACCCCCACATTTGAGTCAGAATACCCCAGCTGATAATGAAGTGGCACAATAAGAATTATACGGCTTGAGCACCTCTGACAATTTGGTAGCCAGAGACTCTTGAGATCAATCAATCAATCAGTCAAGCGAATTTTCTGTTTTCTTTCCGTCATAGCTATCGGACGGCACCATCTACTTGCCTGATCCGTTAGTACAAGACGACCACCACCACATCTGCGTCCCACGGACGGAGGACCACGTCAAGACTCCTTTCTACTACACTATCCCAGAATGTCTGCTGAGATGGAGTTATCCGCTAGACAACTACTACGATTCTCTCAGACGGAATGCTATCAAATATCACATATTCAGGACGAAGACATCCGTTTTGCCTATCTTTTAGCCCCGGCGCCTATCCCCCAAGACCTTATCCCCTACCTGACTGAGTAGTTAGAGTCCTTCAGATCGCTGGCGGCTTCACGTACAGACCCTTGACAGCCGCGGTCTGCTACTTGCTCTACGACCTTGTCTCTCGGCAACGACTCTTTCCTCGCTGACGACAGTTTCGACTACGAGGACAACACATCTGCTGCTGTGACTGGATTGCCAAGTCTTGCTTCGTCATTTGAATCGGATGCTCACAAGAACAAGAAGCTTAAGAAGACTAAAAATGAATCCCGCAAATCTGTAGCCGTTATGAACATCGCTGCTACTGGCCGCCAACCTCGCCTCCGGACAGGAGCAGAAGCAGAAGACTGCACACAACGAGGCTACCAAGGCCAGTAACAATGCTGCCAATTCAAGCAACAGCACAGAGCCTGCGCCGATCCTTTCCCTACCAGCCAATCGTCGTAGTCGTAAGCAGTTCCTCACAGAAGACCCCAGCAAGACGTTTGTCTGTGAGCTATGCAACCGCCGGTTCCGACGCCAGGAACATCTCAGGGCGGAGGTCGGAGGCACGGATGGACTTTGAGTTTGAATGCTAGGGTAGGGCACGATCAGTTCCAATGTTAATACATTTGGTGTGCGATGACAGCCAGAAAACTAATGTTTTGTCGAGTTGCCTGAATCCCTGGTCCGCCAGAGCCGTTAGGCATTTTCTATTTATTTAATAACGATTTTTTGTTCTTATGAAATAGCTTATTTTTTCTTTATTGGACTATTGCTTTTATGAGGACTTGCGTGTTTTTGCCCGTATGCCTTATTGTTATAATGTCCGTATTGCCTTTTGCCGACCTTGCATTTGTCGCCCCTTAAATATCGATCACAAATACGAACAAAAGAAGGCGCTTGATATAGAATTTCATGTTGCTCCCAGTTTGCTGCAGTTAATAAGCATCAGAAGATTGCTTGATTAATATCACAAAGTTAAACAGTGCAACGGCGCCGATTTCGCAACCGACTGGAGGAATTAGCTATGTCTTACGGAATGTACGACCGGCAGTGTATACAGACGGACGGACCTTTCACGGTCGATGTTGGTACATCAATAAAAATTCGTTCGCAATCGAGGCAAAAGGAACCAGGATTTCGCAAAAGATGTGCTGTAGCCGAGACTCGAACTCGGTTCCTAGGCAGGCGTGTGTAAAGACAATGGGAAGCCTAGATGATAACCCTTACACCACTACAGCGTTGGCTATTTACGGATCGTGTTCGATTCCGTCCATTGTCATTGTTGGAGGAGTTGTCATAATCATGGTATATATGTGCGGAGAACCGCGTCCAGCCGTTCAGGGGTCAGGGGTTAGGGGCATATGAAGTGGACCCATAAATGGGTCCGCTTAAATCTGTATAGGATTAAACCATAATTTCTGCTACTGGAATTTAGCGGGGATAAACGGGGAGACATTTAGCCAGTTATTGTTTTATGCATTTACACCCATATTATGACTCAACGCGGCTACGAGTAGATCTACCATAACCCCACCAGCCTCTCTCTACCATGAACATAGCTACTATCAGTAGGCAATTTGACAACAACACTTGATCTCACTCAGCCCTACCTGTAATTTACCGAAGCACATTGTACAGATCCTGTATACCTTAGCACCTCATTACACAGCCGACTATTTGCCTAAGACTTCAGACGAAACTCAGTATCGCAAAAATACAACATCTTACATCTTAGGTGTCGTCACGCACTTCCCCGCCAGCCAGCCAGTAAGCCCAACATGAGCGGCGCCAAAGGCGGCGACAAGATCGAAAAGATCATCGCGCGACTCCAGCAGCGCATTAACGAAGGCCAGTTCTACGAAGCTCAGCAGCAGACGAGGGTCGTGGCCGCGCGATACACCAAGGCTGCAAACTGGACGGCCGCCGTCGACATCCTCTACAACGTCGCCCAGTCGCTGCTGAAGGCCGGGCAGGGCGGCAGCGGCGGCGATCTCTGCGTCTTGCTAATTGACACCTACAAGCAGGCGGAGCTCAAACCCGACCCCAACACCAAGAGCAAGCTGCTGACGTGTCTACGTCTGTTCGACAGCGAGGAGCCGACGCGCAAGAAGTATATAGGAGAAATAATATCGTAAGTTTCCATACGCATATTGTTGCTATTCTACTAGATGGATTGTAGGCTAGCTAGCTACGAGTAGAGTGAGAGCTACGGGAATGCGATGCTAACACAGAAGGCCGCCCCCAGATGGTCCTCCAGATTCGGCGAGTATCCCGCCGGCGACCCTGAACTCCACCACGTTGCGGGTTCCCTCTACGCAGAAGAGCACGAAGCGTACGATGCCGAGAGACATCTGATTTTGGGCACCAAAGATTCCGCCGAGGTGCTAGCCCGCATGGAATATGAGTGGTTCCAGGAGGATGACGCACACACAGCTGCCCTGTATGCCGGTCGCGCGGTATTGCCCTATTTAATAACGGCGAACGTCCGGGCCGCCAATACATCCTACCGCATCTTCACCAGCCTACTCAGCAGTGACAGACAATCCCAACTCGGCGTCCAAGACGTGAGCAGCAATAGTGCCGACTTGCGAGTGTTCCCTAGCATACCACTCCTTAATTTCCTCGGCCTATTATTACTTGCCATTCAGAGAGGCAGCCCAGATCTCTACCGGCAGCTGGCGGCAAAGTATGCCGGCCATTTAAAAGAGGTAGAGATGTGGAACGAGGCTCTGGAGATAATTGCCGAAATATACTTCGGCATTGCAAAGCCCCGGCAGAGTAATCCTCTAATGGACATGATGAGCGGCTTCTTTGGCGGCGGAGGCGGGGCTTCTGGGGGCGGGAACTCGAGGAAGCCTGCGGTGAAGGCTCCGTCATCGACGTCGACGTCAATGCCGGCCGCGGAGGGCCTAGATTAGTCGGGCTGCACAGGGACAACTGTAGATAGACAGGCAGCCGTATACAGATTATAATAAACGGTACCCCTCCTGACCCATATTCAATGGACACGGGGCGGTTCCTCGGCCTCATACATCCAATTATCCTCAGCTAGCGCGGCTACCTTTGCCCTCATACTAGCCCTGAGCACTTCGAGAACTTCTATTTTCATAATCAGCCGCGAATGTTAGCCGAATGGGCTAACTATACCTTCACCGTGCTGCACGGGCAGGCGTGTCATCTGGTATTGTCGGACAGCGTCAGCCAACCTGTGTCTTTCCCCTATACATATAAAAATAATCGTAAGCACGCGCTCTTGGTTAAACATGTTTCTTGACTTATAAATGGTGGGCGAGTCAAAATGCATACGTTCATTCTCCTGCGCATCATCGAGGGCAGGCTCCTCGCCCGGGTCATTGAGTGGTGGCGTAGGCGGGTCCCCGACCTCGAACTCGCCATTCTTATCGCGAATTACGATCTCGGAAGACTCGCACGGCGCATCGCTTTCAAAGCGCAACATATCGACCGAGTTGGACGACGATGAGTTCGTGGTCGTGGCGGCGCTGGTCGTCCCTCCTCCTATCCCGCTGCCGGGCCTCGAGCCCTCTGTCGGCGTCGGGCGTCGCGTTAGATGGCTTTGGAATAGATTGCGTCGCACGCCTGCTGTGCCTGTTGCAGTGCGCGTTTGGCGGTTTGCGCCGAAGCGGAGGTTATGGGTTGGCGCGCGATCGGCCATTTGCGTATACTGGATAATGGGACGGTGTTCAGTTGAATGAAGGCTTGCGGTCGGTAGAGGCGTCTAACAATATTAGGTAGGTATTATAAGAAGCTGGTAGTCTGGCGATATGGTCGTTGTTGAGGATTCGGCTCTTGGGTTATAGGTTGGATAGCAGGAAGCTTGTGATGATGGTGGAGTTAAGTGTGACAGTTCGTGGGGCATGACAACATACTGTAGGTACTTAGGCAACGCCCCACATTGTTCGTCAAAAAGGGTAACTTCTGTTTTAGTGCTTCCAATCCAATACAGTACTGGCCTCACCCCAGAATATCAGACCTAAGTCTGACATATTATCGACCGGTACCATTATCATTAGCTTTTGGTGGTTCGAATATGAGGGAAGTGTAATTCTTCAGCATTTTCGAAATATTTAAGATCATTTATCCTGAATATGGTACTACCCATTGATTAACTCGTATATATGCTGATACTACTATATATACTCAGGACGTCTTCGATATAGTCATATCACTGAGGCGAAGTTCATGGGTGTTGCATATCTCTACTACATTAACTTAGCCCTTTGCTGAGGTATCCTCGAAATGCTAAAATATTAACAATATGAGCTCTCGTCTTGGCTATCCCGATAACTTTAGGCTGGTGATATTGAATTGCAGATATCGCATGATGGGGATGGTGCATTAATAGTGGGGGTTCAATGCGGCTCGGGGTAGCTCCCGTCTTTGTGTACCAGCAGCCCATCCATCTCTTTGTGATCTTCAATTTAGCACTATCAAAGTTAATCTATAATTCTAATAATCTTTCTATTCTTGGGATTCAGTCTCATTTCATATCACCCGTGGAGCAGTTTGAGCTTCGAAAATGTCCCGCCCAACCTTCAACATTCAACCAATCGGCCGTTTTGGCGGCCAGTCGGAAACAGTGAAGCGACCCAAGGTACAAACCACCCTCTGAGACGCCGTATCTGATGCCTCAACCTTTACAAGAGGTTTCATTGCATTTCGAGGTCTGGCTGACAGGACTCAAGGAAATCGCGTACTTTTCCTACGACGACAAACACGAATTTCGTCTCGACGACTCATCGTTGCAGTGGTACTACCCCCCGAAGTTGGGAGCAGACTTATCCGGAGGATTCGACAAGTTTGACAATCACGATGATTCGGTAGACGAACATCTAGACAGCCTGTTAAAGACTATAATAGCTCATGAGCAGGAGGAGGGGAAGAAGATCGATGCCAACGTCGTCACATGGCGTGGTATGATGACCAAGGTAAACGAATCATCTATGTTCGAAATTCATTGTTATGGACGAAACTTTCTCATCATGTCTTCTAGATTATGTCAGCACCCTTTGAGGACCGAGATGGGTATGTCGAAAGTGTTATCAATGATGACGAAGACGCAAACCTGACCGCCGTGCTCATGCTAGCTTCGAAATGCATGCGACTCTCTATCAGGTGCGTAGGATTAATAGTAGTTGCTTAGGACGTTTCTACTAATACTGTTATAGGATTGCATGTATGGATCTCTGTTAAGCCATGTCTATAGTGGCCAGGCTAGTCTAACAGTAACGTAGCTTCATCGAGGAGAATCACAGACTCAAGCAGATTGCCAAGGAGGAACAAAAAAGACAGCAACGTAGCCGGCCAGGCCAATTTTCGCCCGACGTCATGACTTACTGGGGTAAGATCCATTGCAGGTACGCGTATTGTTTAGTGACTTACTGAAAATGTAGGCTACAAATTTGAGGCACTGTCTTGTCTGCCGAAGCCTTGGGGTGAGATGAGCCGCGAATTCATCGAAAACCGCGACGAACTTGTTGTCAGTAACAAGGCGCAGTACTGTTCTGTGGTTCGCACAGGCATAGGCAAAACGGTCCTATGCCTGGGCGGAGAAGTCGACGCCAGTACGTCTTTCTGAGTCCCAGTAGCCGGACTCCTACAACTCCAAGTTATATCGCACATGAACACTAACGCCGTGATGTGTCAAGTTTGGGACTCTAAGCCTCCGCAGAAAGGGTTACCAATCAACTGGGTCGAGCTGAAGACAAGTGCTGAAATCCGTGACCAACGAGGTATGAAGAATTTCGAGCGTAAGCTCATGAAATTCTGGATCCAGTCCTTCCTTCTCGGTGTGCCCAAGATTATCGTCGGCTTCCGGTCGCAAAGCGGCATCCTTACCAAGATTGAGGAAATCCAGACAATCTCAATTCCTGAGACGGCCGCAAAGAGGGGCGTGCGCAGTTGGGATGCTAATACGTGCATCAACTTTGCCAACGCATTTCTAGATTGTATGTTCTCCGCCCGCGTTTGCCATCTTTATGGCTGTCAACATTGTTGCAAGGCTGACTGGAACCAGGGCTGAGAAACACAATCAACGACCAGGGGGTTTGGCGAATAAGTAGACGACCGCATTCATCAACCATCGAGGTCTTTAAAGTCCATGAGGTCGGGCACGGTAGTATTATTTCCGAGGAGTTCATTAATTGGCGGATCAAGCTCAGTCTGAGTAACACCGAGCAACAGTGAGCGATAGTAGCGACACATAATCAGTTCTTGCGCA